TTTATTCAAGTTGTTCAAAAGTATTTCGTTTTGTAGTAGTTATGCTACGGGTATATAGTGAACTTACAAAGATTAGATTTAGAGTACTTTGATTGGACACTAGTAACTAGTGTTATGCGTCTAGTCCTCTCTTTGGTGCAGACTGAATTCTAGCAGTCAATCAGATTTGCAATGTGGCCACCATTCCATTAGGTAGCTCGCCATCACGGTGCATATTGATTCGATGGTATTAGATGGTTGGAGGCAATCGGCCACAGGAAGCCTTGGACACCACCTAGATTTCGTGCTAGTTGGCACTCAGCAGTCAGCAAGGCGTATCTACAACCACCTTGAAGGAACTCAATCATCTAATATCATCATATCAATATGCATCGCGATAGTGAGCTACCTAGAATGATGGCCACACTGCAAACCTGATTAATTGTTAGAATTCAGTCTGCACCAAAGAGAGGACTAGACGCATAACACTAGTTACTAGTGTCCAATCAAAGTATTCAACACACTCCTACATGAAGTCAATCGCGTGCCCGAATAGCTGAATGGTAACGTCTCTGACTGCAGCACGGGGTGACGCGGGTTCGAATCTCAGAGTCCCTTAGAGGTAGCGAATACGCCATGCTGACAAATTCCAACTAGCTTAAAAACCTAAGTCCAAGGGTATCTGGAGATTGCATCTCAATTGATGAGGCTGTGAAATCAAATTTACTAATGGCGACTTCTCCGTCCGTGTGTTGTGTGTATCCCATACTTTACACCATTTTTCTCTGACACGTGATGTTGATTCGAGTGAGTTCGAGTCTGAGGAAAACTGTCTGCTGGGGAAGAAGTGATGGTGTGTTTGTGTGTGTGTGTGTGTGTGTGTAGCTGGAGCAGAGGAGATGTTGAAAGGCAATGGCTAAAGACACTTCACAATAGCATATATGTATTCATGTTTCCAAACTTTCAAAGAAGATGATCTCAGAGTGAAAAAAGCTACTTCACCTCTAATCCAGTGTTGAATAAGCCCTCGAAATAGCATGATTTTATACTCTACTGGTTACGTAATATTGTAACAACAGAAGACAAGAACCAGGCAACAGATCGTTTATTCGGAAAATCATAAGATATTTAAAGATTTGTATGTATACTATTATTGTTGGCAAAGAAACAACCTCTTGTGATTGGTTGTTTTGTTGTTGAAGGTTATTCTGCCATGTCTTTGTTGCCGTTTCTTAGACAGCCCGTTGATATATAATATAATAATAATTTGCATTATTCCAAAACAGTACTTGTGATACAGAATGGAATTCTCACCATTTCACTACAGTATTGCACCCAGTTAGTACATTAACAATAAATAAAATTCTACATAGATTAAGGTAATCTCAGTTAGTTTTGACAACAACATATTGGCATGTGGGTAGCAAAGCCAAAATTGAACAGAATGTTTGAAGTTGTTAGAAAAGTAGATGCTGGCATATTTACTGGCGTAAGCGGTAACAAAAATGTCGAGATATAAAGAGAGTGAAAGAACGACGAAGAATGTTTAAAGAGGAGTTTCTAAGGTAGAGAAAAACAAAACCGCACAGAACAAAACAAAGAGAAAAGGAAAAGAAAGAAAGAAAAACGTTGTACCTATAAATGATATGAGTTGGAGAGACGAAATCCAGTTGTTCTACTGACTATTTAATAAGTTATAGGAATCACGCCTAATGCTTTCTTCTTTATCGCACAGAACACGAGCTAAGTAGGGAGGGTATGGTTGGGTTTTTGTACTTGCTAGTGCAGGCATATAGTTTTCTCTATATAGGTTTCTGGTTCTGCCTGATGAGATACAAGGGGAGAGTTGTGAGTGAAAGGGGTGGTGTGCGTAATAAGGTATAGACTTTCTTCAGTAGCTCTGGGAAAAATAAGGGGGAAGAATAGAGGAATAATAGGCAGGATGTAGGAGTTAACGATTCGTAGGAGTAAGGGTTGGTTTATTCCAAAATGTTTTAACTTATTGATGTAGAAGGTGAGACGGAATATTTCTTAGAAATCATCAAGATATGAGACGGCCAGGGAAGATCAGCAGATAGAATGACGCCAAGATATTTAATTTCCAACTTAGTCTTTATTTCAGTGCCATCTATGTTGCACACCTCGTGAAAGCTAACCAGTTTGTTTAGGTCACATTTATGCCTATAGGTGAAATTGACTGTTTGACATTTAGAGGTATTTAAGGTCAGACCGTTTTCCTTGGAACACTGACTGATTTCTGATAAAAAGCCATTCAGTGTAGAGCAGTCACTTTGACATTTGACAGACAAAGATACAGTCAGGTCATCAGCATATTTGACAAAATTAATGTCATTTGAAAGAAAGAAAAGAGAAGTGGGGAGAGTACAGCACCTTGGGGGACACCAGCTTCAGTGAGCACAGCAGAGGAGGATTTACCTTTGTAGACGGTATACTGCATTCTGTTTGAGAAGTAGGAATGCAACCAGTTAGTGACCCAGGACTCACTTTGTGTCATCGAGAGCTTATTTAGCAAGAGACATCTAGGTACACAGTCGAAAGCAGAAGTGAAGTCAAGAAACGTGTAGCGAACGTATCAGGCACCTTTATCTAATGATGAGACGATACTGTTGTGTAAGACAGCTGCAGCGTCCAAAGTGCTCCTACCCCGTCTATGTGCCAATTGTTTGGGGTCTTCGAAGCTTTTAAGGGAGGGTTCAAGTTTAAGAAGTACTAGTTTTTCCATAAACTTTAGAAAAGGGGAAGTGATGACAATGGGTCTGAATTTGACGTTCTTGTTAATATCTGCTAATCATATTCTCCCACGAAATTTCTGTTGTGATTGGTTGTTGAGTTCCTCAAGGTTTGACTTTGTCCTTGTTTTTCCTCTCATGATCAAGATATGGGACGTTGACATTGACGTAAATTGCTGTCTACCAATTTCGGCTAGCATACAACCCTCACCATATTATGAGTAGTATTGGATAACTTACGTTAAATAGTAGTGCCTTCTAGTCAAAATAAAGTAATCTACGCTCTGAACAGCTGATTCTTTGGTTTCGGTGTCGAGCTAATCAAATATTTTGGTTGACAAGGTCTTCCAGTTGTACATAGCATGCATATTTCGACATGGTTTGGACTCCTCAAATGGTTGTGTCTGCATGTATCCAAAATATCTGATGCTGTTAACAAGGAGATCCATTTTTTCAATGCTTTAAAATAATAATTCAAGAACTATTTACACATATAAGTATTTAGTTCAGTGCGTCGGTGGTACAGTGGTCAGGAAGCTCGCCGACCATGCACTTGGTCCGAGGTTCAATCCCCTGATATCTATGGTCGGCCTGAAAAATTTGGGCTATCGATATCACATGCTGAAAATTCCATACTTGTACCAAAGATACAGTGTGGAATCAAGCTGTAACCAAAAATAGAAAAAAATAATATAAATTTAAATGACCCCTTTTTACATCAGAGATCCATTGATAGAATACTTACTAGCCATGGACACGTACAGGGTTCGATTCCCATCCTGATGCATTCCTAAAATTCATTTGGTTTATTAGCTGAAAATAAGCCTAGGAAAGAGTGATAATTGGGCTAGCAATCCTTAACCGTAGAACTAAACAACACTCACCGCTATTTCTTGGTTGTTTGTCATACTGCGCCTGACCTTTGATCAGAATTAGAACTCGTCTTTTATTTACAGCCGAGGCTATGATTAATGAAAGGCGAACAACGTAGAACTGCAAAGTCGTCTATATGTGGCCACCTGTTAGAGTCTGGTCATTTAGCCCCACATGATTCATCTTTCAAAGTTATCTACATGGCAAAATCGAATCGATCCAAAAGTTTACGTTTTCTTCACTTATGCATAGCCGAAGCTTTAGCTATATATGAACAGAAACCTGAATTATGTGTTCAAAGACCTTTTGTCAAACCCCTTTCTTTACCTTGGTCATAGTAATGTTCTTTCTAGTTTTTATTTTATTTTACCACTTGAATTCATTCCACTTCAATTCACATCTTCATTCTTATCGTAATCGTACTCCTAATTTTTCAAATGTTTAGACAACGCTTGACATTTTTTTAGAAATATTTTTGGTATTAATTCACTTATAAAACAATCTTTCATAATTTTGTAATCCATCCACTTCAACTCTACCCCTTATAACATTTTAATTATCGTTATTCTTATCACTTATATATGTATATTGACTGAGAAATTATTTAGTGCCACTTAAAGCTTTCTTTTTCTGTAATATAAATAAGACTGTACAGTTGGCTTGAAAATGAAGTCGTTGAAAAGAAATTTCTTCGCTGAACAAAAAAACTGTGTTTTCAATTCATAAAGCCAAATGAGTTCAAATAGCTCCAATTCTGACCCACTATTTGAACGGCTCAGTAATAGATATGTAGTTGTCAGCTACTAACAACTATCAGCTATATGATGTGTCATCTAAAAGAGAAGAACTGCCAGTGGTTGTCAGGACGAAGCTTTGTTCCACTCTGGGACTCGTCAGTTGAATGCACCTACAATCCCCAGTGAGTGATGGTGTTCTCACTGAGACTTGAACTCATCCCTCACCATTTTAAGAGCTGAGACGTTATTCCATAGACCGCTTTGACTACTAGGACAGCCTCTTGTGCAACGAACACCAGTGAATCATTGAAGTCAGTTAGCGTTGGAAACCTGTTTCATCCTGGCTGAAGAAGCGTCTGCAGTGCACTTTATTAAGCGTAGAATCCAATACCTTCAGTTTATGAGTGGAACCCATTGATTGTCAAGTTACTGGTTTGAATTTTTTTAAGCTCTTTCAATTTACGTCACCATCATCCAATCCAGTGCCCCCAAGCTAGCGCACATCTTCACGGGTCATGAGAAGGCACTGTTGAAAAAATCTAGTACTGCCTAGTTTCCAATAATACTCTCAATTGTATCGCTCTGTGACGAAACCTACCTACAACTGAACAGCTAGAAAAAAAAAGTAGAAAGATTCCCCCATGTCTTCACTTAAACTTACCACAGGTCGTCGCATTTCTCTCAATGTCGTATCTCTTTCAGCCTCTATTGCCATTGCAACAGTCATCAAATCCAAATTTGTTTCAAATGAATACCGTTGAATTAAACGTAATGGAATATTTGCTCTACCAGTCTATATTTGAAAAGATAATCATAAAAATATCCATAAAGAATATATATATATATATATATATATATATATATATTTTTATATATATAAGTAAGGAATCTAATGAATCGGTAAATCAGAAATGACATTTAAAATATCTAAAGGCTTCATTGGTTTGCCATTAAAGTGTAGGCAGTTTCATGTGTTGTTTAGTCCTGAATTGTACCGACACTGACAAAATCTAGATTTCTGACTATCTGATAACAGCGTGTAGTCATCTAATAGTGTATAGCGCTCATTCAAAACTTATATTATTGTGGAACTTCCCATTTAAACATTTAGAAGACAAAAAAAGATATTGGATTTCATCATGAGCTGATATCAGTTAGAGGACTATTGAAATACCAGCTGGGAGTACTAGACAGCTGTTTCTTCCTAGTTTGGGACTCTTCATCAGTACATACCCAACAGGGTTCATGGGCCATTGGATCGGGTTCAAGTGGCCTAATGGTATTCGAGCTCGCTAGCTTTGTAACCAGAAGGTAATCGGGTTCGAACCTGTGGTGGTCGCTGCATACGGATGAAGAGTCCCAAACTAGGCTGACGAAACAGCTGTCCAGTACTCCCAGGTGGTTTTCCAATGGTTCTCTAACTAATGTGTCAGCCCATGATGAAATCCTGTGACCAATCAATCAAATCACTACAAACCAACACTTGAAAAATGGGATATTCTTTTCGACAACATCCTCACTATCCGGCTCTATATTTATCTGTATACACATATAATATTGATATTCCCTCAGAGAATTGGACCCACGTCACCCAGTACTGCAGTTAGAGAACTTATCATTGAGTTCTTTGAGCTAAGTCATTCCATGTACATTATCTCAATATTTACGAATTTAAAAATGCTGATTTTATAAGTAATTTCAATGTCTACAGCGTAGTTAACGTAGAAATATCAAGAAACGTTATCTCCAAGAATTTCTTCTCAAGTCAATTTCTGATGTAAAGTTCCATTCAAGTTTAAATTTGGCGTACACGTTATAATGGTCCAACTGTCTGGAAAGTCTCTCGTCAATGGTCCATTTACGATTGTGGTGAGAGCAGGCTGCTAGCCAATTGGTAGACATTAATCGACGCTGATTGGTAGATATTAATCTAGGCTGATTCAACAACCAATCACAGCAGACTTAAACGTGGGCAAATATGATTCGCAGATAAATGGCTCTACTTTCCGAGAAATATCAAAAACAACCAATCAGGAGACTGTGTTTGTCTTCCGAGAAACAACCAATTAGAAACTGCCTTTTTCTGCTTGCATAAGCCTGATTAATGCATAAAATATATATAAATACGCGTTGATTTAGTAATAAAACGATCTGTTGCCTGGCCCTTATCTTCTGTTGTTACATAGCTACTTATTTAGCTATCCTAACTAGTTTTGTAATTATGATCCTTTTTCCTCCTAGATTGTGTATCGTTGTCCTCATGTTTGTGTATCATCTGTAGAACTAATCCTTATTATTCGTCTTTCTTCACGTTTAATCTCTGGTCTAAACGGTTCTCTTTGTCATTGTGTAGTGATAGTGTTGATAGTGTTTTGCTTTCCGGTGTGATTTTGTTTGAGTGAATAAGAGACCATTTTGACCTTGGACTGTCCGCGAGAATTGTTTTCGGTGTGTCTTTCATGCGGACAGATTTTCCACTCTCACCTTGTTGGGGGACATTCTACTTGATTTTAAGGCATTTTGCACAGTTTATTTTAGTTAACTATTTTTGACTGGTTCGAAGATTTCATCGTGAGCTGACATCAGTTATAGAAACATCAAATAGTACTGAACAGTTGTTTCGTCAGCCTAATTTGGAACTTTTCATCAGTATACAACCACCACCAGGGTTCGAATCTAGGGCCTCCTGGTTACAAGGCAAGCTAACTCGTAGACCACATTAAGCCACTGAAACCCAATCCAGTGACCAGCGCATTAATTCTAACTTTTGTGAATTCATAACCATTTTGGTTCTGTAGTGCTTGTTTTGTCCTGGAAACTTCTATGATCTGTAAAGTTACTTAACATCATTACCGAGGTCATTTTGAGTCTTTGATTATTGTTCAACAGTACCACAGACTGTTTGCTGTCACTGGAGAATCTTGTGACTGTGAGTAATTCAAGAAAGTTTGGCAAGCTATTATACACTAGAGAATGAAGATTGGTTTCCAGACTTCAGACCACAAAGCATCGGTTTTAATTCAATAAAAATCCACATTCAAACATTAACAGAGAGAAGACCAGTGGTTCAGAGAAGACTCTCTTTTCGGTGAATTCATTTTCACAGCGGTACAATCGCAAATATATGTATATATGGTTGTTTTGTATGTGTGTATACGTTTAATTTATCAAACGAAAATACAATTAGTAGGTTTTTGGTGAAGTTATTTAATACGAAAAGTGATGAGCTGTCACAAAGGAATGTTAAACAATAGTCACGTAATAACATGAAGAGTTTGACAAAAGAGTTGTGCTCAGGGTGTGCATGGAAACAGAACAACATACGGAATTACGTAAGAGATTTAAGTAGTTATAAAAATAAGCAATCAAGCAGAAGTGAAGTCAAATCAACAGAGTTGCCAACATGATAGTAGAAGTGGTTGAATAATTTTCTTTTGTATTCATAGTTCTGGTTCTTCCAACTGAATGGTTAGGTCTTCTGCAATGCAAAGAAGATGGAAACGCATTGTGTTTGACAAGTTGTTCTTCACTTTGTAGATCACTTTGAGGCAGGAGGCGTTTGTTGAGATGGAATGACCAGTGTTGACGAGATGTTCGATTATCGCACTCTTATACGGCCACTACTTCCTTTCTGCAGCCATACAGGATAGTGTTCTTTGACCCTTTTTGACAGGATGCGTGTTGAATGACCGGGGAATTGACATATATTCACATAGAAATGGTCAGGTGACAGATCTTGTCCTTAGGGTTTCCGCACATCAGCGGGCGACTAGAGAACATTACTGTCAGTGTTGTCGTGAACAAATTTCTTCTTAGAGAAGTGAACATTCTCCTCTAAAATACATCATTGAGTAGGTCACCTTTGAAGTTGAGGTTCATAAAAAGTACCTTTTTTACCACGGATGGTGTCTCTTGCCTTTGGATTTTATGTTTGATGTTTATGTCTATGAATTTTGGTGGACATCTGTTTTTTGGCGAGGTTTGTTTCAGGAAGTTTAGTACTTCTTCCAGGTTATCAGAGCTGCAGATGCGTCGGACACGAGTAGCAAGAGATCTAATTAGGTTTTCTCTTTCGACTGATTGGTACCCAGCTGTAGAAGCTTGTCAGCTGGCCTTTCCATGTAGCTTTTCTTTGGACGGACCTTCTTAAAGTTCCGTCGGTTATAGCCGCTACGCAAGTTGAGACTGCCTACTTAAGAGAAATGAGGCGTGAAGAACGTAGTTTAATGGACCACCATAAACATTACGAACGACGTGGCTCTAAATACACAGTCAACTCTTCCTCCAATTGGATTAAAAAAGTGACCAAGGTCTCCATAGATTTCTGGGGTTCCTGGGACCATGGGGTCATTCCTACTTGAATCAACACATTGTGTAAATATAGGTATTAGCTGAATAAGAGCAACATATGTAGAAGTCACTTTTATTCAGTGTTGTTTCGCAGTTCTTCCTTACAAAACACTCCATGACTTATCTCTATAACCCCACCACATAGCAGCAGTTGTATAGAAAAAGCCTATAACCAAGTGTAATATACCAATAATTCTAATATAATACATCCTAGTTAGTTAACCACTAATATTTTTAGGCTAAAAAACCCTTAGCTATGCTGATTATGACTGATTATTGAATGACACAGTTCTAGGCCATAAAATACGAAATTTCGATCAAATTATTTATTGATTTAAACTTATTATCATTACTTATATGTGAGTGAAATGTTACCGTATGACACCTGTGATTTCGTATTTGCTGTTTTTTCCAATCTGATAAGAATCAGCTCTGTTGATCCAGCTTTCTGACTTCATCTCATTAGATATGATCATATGTAGTACCCCTATACCAACTGTAAACATGCTTTTTAATCTAATTTGTATGCTTGTATTATATGTGTATACAGACCGATTTTATATGTACTTCGCAAACATTTGTCAATTTACTGTTGAATATTACCTTGACACAATTTGGAATTTGACTACTACTGTAATACACATTCGTAATCTTCGCAGGTGCCTTTTGATTTACGTTGTGGGCGTTGAGTAGCCACAACGTCTGCGCACATCAATAAGAACGAAGAAATACATAGAATATATGTGTACAGCAGTTTAGTCAGACAGCGCACGCAACACATATACCATAATTTTTCAAAAAAATCTCGTTTCCATGACTTATCGACGAAGTTCGCATGACATGAAATTACAACTTGCTTTACAAAAATTAGAAATATTAACATTCGTTCAACGAAAATTTTGCATTTCCAGTTCCGCACTTCAAGTGAATTTGTATTAATAAATATATACTACTTATTATTGAATACTAGTAGGTTAGCTATCTAATAAACATTTTGTGACATTCCCTTTCCAAATGAGATCACTGGTTGATACAAGTTAAATAAGCCTTGAAAACCAGACAGGACTGCGTGGTTATTTTGTCATAACTGAGGAATTTTCATCAGAACACATACATAAAACCGTGTGATGGGGATTTAACCTACATCTTTTAGGTTGCGAGTAGATCCACTGTGATGCAATCTAACGTTCATGTATTTTATTTTTTATTATTGTTATGATTACTTGTTGTTCGCTTGAGTTCTGAGGAGAACATAGCCCTTCAACAGCGAATCTCCAATTATTCCAATTATCTGTAGTCCTTTTCATCTAGCCCCACGATTTCCTATAGTCTATCTCCAGGGGGCACGACCTGCTTCGTGTCACCGTTGAACGCGTCACTCGTCGTTTCCCATTTTCTTTCATAATGCCTTATGTTTATAATACCGCTGATAATTCAGAATAATCAAGTCCTTATATTTTCCACGTTTTGACTTTGTGGCATACACAGAGAAATTCCAATGACACTACCTTTAATGTACACTAGTATCCAGTGTCGAGTTTACGGATTATGCAGCGATCATTTACAAATAACCAATAGGGTACAGCAAGTTGATGGTCAGGCAGTAACTCATCGAAGAAGACACTGGGAAGTGGTCGCACTATGTTATGAATAGGCAGAAATTAGAATTCATGGACTGTCCACTGGATCGGGTCCCAGTGGCTTAATGGTCTACGCACTAGCTCTCCTCCTTGTAACCTGAAGGTACTGGGTTCGAACCCGTGATGTGAGTGAGTACTGCTTAAGACTCCCAAACTAGGCTGACGAAACAGCTGTCTGGCAGTACTTCCAACTAGTTTTCCAATGACTCTCTAAGTGATCTTAGCTCATGATGAAATATATCTTTGTCTCTTTAACCAATTACAGACTTGTCAGGAAAGCTTTTCATGTCTGCAGAATTAAGTATTAGGTTCCAGCTAGAATATTAATACTGACTGAAATATAGACGCACTTAGCTGCTGAGTTTTCAAGTTTACTGGATGACAGAGTTTTAACATGAGACTCTGCCCAGAAATGCACCAATTCAAGTTGTCACACCTGTTAGTGTACTCAGAGGTTGAGAAGAGAGAGAATAGTAAAATGGAAAAACATTAGCGCTTAATCAATATAGGAGATCACAAACAATGATTGCATCTTAGCCAAAGAGAATTTTTTTCAACCATATGTTCTTGGAATTCAGAGGTTCTCAACCAGACAGACTTCACCTATGTGCGAGATTCAAACCAACCACCCATGACTATGTGGATTATTATTAATAATATATTGTTACTGCTTCCTTTAATTCCTAGAAGAACATAGGGATTCAGCCAAACGTCTCCATTGCTATCAGTTCTCTGCCAACCTTTTCACCTACCTCCACGTCTGCCCACATGCTTTCATCTCCTCTTCGTGAAACCTCATCCATGTCACCCTCGTATTGACGACAAACTCGCCACTTCCCATTCTGTCGGGTTCCACTCGAGCAATGGCCTGGCGTGTGATGTCACTCACTTGATGGTTTGTTTTCTCAGAGTATGGCCACAATCCAATCCACCTCCATTTCTTCCTGCATATATGTTGCACAATTAGTTTCTGCTGGGTTGGACTGGTTCGTTCATTGCCAGAGATCCCTAACTCTTGCTGATCTTTTCTGGCGAGTCATCTGATCTTGAGTAGTAACGGACGAAGACATCTAGCTGCTGATGGGAGTGTGTAGTTTGTTCGAAGTGGCCTTCATGACACGGCACGGCGCAGCGCAGCGCCAAGTCCCTGATCCGTATAGTAGCAATGACTAACTTCACATTTGAGTTAAAAAATTCGGGTCCTGTGTTTCATGCTGAGCGCTACTTACAGATGTTCAGTGAGCTGCATCGATTGTTTCTTAAAATTAAGGAGTCCCCAACCAGACAGTCTGCACCTATGTGTGTGGTTCAAACCAATCGCCAAAGACTTCATCGATTGGGTCCAGGATACTATTTGGTCATCCCTAACTGTTTCGCACCCTAATCGTATGTCAGACAACATTGTTTAACGAAGGAAGTGATGGTTTGGTGTGCGCAACTCACCTTCACAACTTCATCGACGAGTTCATCCCCCTTACCTTATACTCTTTGCTTAACCTCAATATTACTCACCATTATTATACCACTTAGCACAGAAGAAAGAATACAGACGTCTACGATTTAAAATGGGATGATATTTGATTCGTGAATTTAATTTTGGACCGCATATTTCATGAAATGATTAATCACGGAATATAGACATTGGACTACAGGAATTATTTAAAAGATGGTTGCAGTGAAGAAAATTTTCTTTTCAACGAAGTCACTGTCGACTAGGCTGTACATTCGTGTATTTATCATAAATGGGTGGGAAAGTTCGAGAATTATTTCCACTCAAGGTTCAAATTAATAAACAGGGAGGGGCGGATAAAACCCAAGCAAAGTAACATCATAATTACGGAGAAGATTGACATTGATTGTGCAATTCGTGGTTAGAAATGTAGAAATAACAACAATAGGCAGGAGTTCGGATGTGAAAATAGGGACTAAGAAAAACTTAAAAATAAAATGAATAAACAGGAAGTTTGGATAAGAAAGGCAATGGGATAGTCACTATTAGAAGAATTACCTGTTTATGATGGCCATTGCAGCGATAAGGGTTGGACGTATTTCTTTTGGGGACATAGCGTGGGTTTGAGGTTTTTCGATAGCTACTGCCTCGGCCTGCCTATTTTGTCATTTTATTATTTCTACATATTTAATCCCTAACTGCATAAACAATTATTCATCACATTAGTTAATCTCCCAGCAGCTTTTTTTATCCAAACATCCTGTCTATTGTTGTTATTTCTACATTTCTAACCCCTGATTGCACAACAATATGTCAATCGTCTCAGTAATTATGATTCTACTTTGTTTGAGTTTTATCCGTCCCACCCCTTGTTTGTTATGACATTTTAATTTCCAGTTGTAAATTGACCCTTAACCGGAAATTATTCTCGAACTTTCCCATCCATTGATTATAAATACACGAATGGACAGCCTAGTTGAAGGTGACTTCGTCGAAAAGAAATGCTTAATGTATCTATGTAATATAAATGATAGTACAAATATCTTCAACACTGCTGGAGAGAGAGAGAGAGGGAGAGAGGTACACACTCAAATCAGTTGAACTTACTTCATCTGAATAAGGCGGTTGAGTAAGATCAATACCTTCTGCTTTCAATTTCTTCTTTAACATATGTCTAGCTAAATGTATATGTTGAATATAAATATTTCTTGTATTATCATGCCCCATGGATTGCATAGAATTAGATATTTGCTGTTGTTGATGATGCTGGGGATGATTATGATAAGGTTGAGGCAGTTGAGGTGGCTGAGGTGGCTGAGGCTGAAGTTGAGGTTGAGATGGATGATACTGTTGATAGGATGGTGTAGGTGGAAGTGGAAGTGATGGTGGATGAGTTGGCTGTGAATACTGTACAAAATAACCTTGTGTTGAAGCAATGGATGGTGGGAGTGGTGAGGCCAATTGGATCGGTATTTGATGATAGTTTGATAGATTCGATTCTTGTATCTGTTGTTGTTGTTTCTGTTGTCTTGGTGAGGATAGGAATCTTTCATCAATTTTTACAGTTTTTGGTGTTGTTGATGAAGAACGTTTCATACTGTCAGAACATCTAGCTTCTGGATGGTTGTCTCTTGGTAATCGTCCATTTCGTAGGATACTTACAGGGTGTTTCTGAAAGAGAATATACGTATTTTTAAGACTTGGTTATGGGTTGGCTTCGTACAGAAAACGACTGCAAATACCACAGTATTATTATTATTATATTGGCATAGCTGTACTCGAGATCCAGTCTTTGAATATTCAATGGGATGATGGGACCTTTTGAATATACCACTTAGATTGCAAATTTTCTTTTAGAGAACCACTGGAAAATCTTGGACTACTGGACAGCTGTTTCGTCCTAGCTTGAGACTCTTCGTCAGTACACATCCACCGGGCTTCGAACTCAGAACCTTCTGGTTACAAGACTAGCGAGCTCGTAGACCATTGAGCCACTGGGACTCGATCAAATGGTTTTTGAATTCTTGAACTTTTGCCGATTCACGCCATAGCGCGACGATTTCACAATGTCTTCTTTTTGATGAGTTACTGCCTCATCTTCGATCTGGGGTTCTAGTGGGAAGCAATGACCAGTAGGGTACAGTGGGATGAAGATGAGGCAGTAACTCACCAAAAAGAAGACATTGTGAAATCGTCGCGCTAAGTCGTGAATTGGCAGAAGTTAGAATTCATGCACTGACCATTGGATTGGGTCCCAGTGGCTCAATGGTCTACGAGCTCGCTAGCATTGTGACCAGAAGGTACTGGGTTTGAACCCCGGTGGGTGTGTACATATGAAGAGTCTCAAACTAGGACGAAACAGCTGTCCAGTACTCCATGCAGGTTTTCCAATAGTTTTCTAACTGATGTCAGCTCATGATGAAATCCTCCACGTAATCAAACAAAATCCCTACAAAACCAATATTAGAAAATTTTCTTCTAATCCTTTACTTTTCCAGTGGAACATAAAGCTTCAAGATGGAGCTCTGAAGTTTCACTTGCAATTGTGTGTTTATTTTTACAGGATGAGATTGCTAGCCTCATACCCAGCTTCCCCTCTTAAACAGTCCAGTAATCGGCTTAAAGAGGTAAAGGAGTGCCTCGTCGGCTGAGGATCGAACCTTGAACTACCTTAGTGGTTGGTGAGCGTACTAACGCTGTGCCATCGACGCACTAGATTGTAAATACGTGAAGGAAATTCACTGAGAGCATAAATGCTTTCAGAGGCTCGAACCCACTGCCCATAGTTTCAAATTCCGAAGCGTCATCCACTAACAGTGGAATCCAGGTGGCTCTCATGGCCTAAATGGTCCAGTGGATTACATGCACAGACACCGTCACAGCATCTGCACAAGAAGTCATCATGTCAAGCTGAGACCGAGATTGAAATTTTTATAACCACAGAATGTTCATATTCTCAAGTGTTGGTTTGTAGACATTCGATTGGTTTCAATAATGATCATGACTTGAAATCAGTTGGAGACCCATTGGTAACCAAAGATCCCTTGGTACTTATACCCACACAAAAAGGTTCGAACTCAGGAATTCCCGGTTCCAGGAAGTACTGACTGAACACTTAGCCATTAGGACAGAATCCAGTGGTTCATGGATTTACGATATATGTATCATGACTACGAACCAATGTCACTGACGAGTGTCTTCCACACACTCAATTGAGTGAGCCTCACTGTTCATGGCTTCTAAATTTAAAAAAGTTTTTTTAATTTTTTAAAATTTTCAAATAAAGCTTGATTCCACGCCGTATTTCTTGGTACAGGTATGGAATTTTCAGCATGGATATCGGTAGCCCAAATTTTGTACGCCAACCATAGATATCAGGTGTGCGTCGGTAGGGGATTGAACCCCGGACCATGTGCATGGTCGGTGAGAATCCTAACCACTGTGCCACCGGACTCAAAGTAACTTCATCATGAATTCATTCACTAGGGAGCACCAAACTAATTTACTTTTAGTTTCCAATGATTTGGTCAGTGTGAAAATCATGGAGTACTAGACAGCTGTTTCGTACTTTTGCGTAACTCTTCATTGCTCCGCATCCATTGGTATTGACCAAGTCAGGTAAATGAACAATTACTCCCCCGTAGACACTGACTAGTGGTCACTAAAGGTGTATATCGTAGACTAACAGAATTGAAAAAATGATGAGCCGTTGGATTTCATCTCGGAGGCTTATCCTTGATGAGATCATAATTAAGTGCTGCTGAATAGTCCCAGACTAGCGGGATCAGACAGCCATCCAGTACTGCCTGGCAAATTTTAATGCTTTCTCTAACTAAAATTAGTCAGTTCATCATTAAAAAGTCAAGGAAAATAACAGATGAGCGTGACATTTAGTGGTTGGATCATAGTAACCTAGCTAGTTAATATTACTACTTATTAGTTAGTCAGTAATAAATGCTTCGTAGTAACGATAGAAAAAAGCACAAAACTTACTGTTTGACACTGAATTTCATTGGATGCATTCGATGCTGTCGAAAGAAAAACACACAGATATATGTTGCATTAACTTTCAAAATATAAACTCCTTATTCACTAATGTGCCTTTGCTTAAAACAATTGAAATTTTGTGTGATTACATTTCCACAAACAATCTTTTTATCGCGTTCCCTATATCTTATTTAAGGGATTTATTACTTCTATATAGTAACAATGTTAGGTTTACATTTGATGGCGATTGTTTCCGCCAAATTGATGGTGTTGCTATGGGAAGTCCGTTAGGGCCCTTTATAGAGTACATTGAGAGCTTATCGGAGGATTTAATCGAAAATGTGCCACTTCATAGAAGGTATGCAGATGATATCTTAGTCATCAGTGATAAGCCTTGTTCTGCCACCTCAATTTTAAATCGAATAAATGAAGTTCAGAATAGCAAGCATATCACTTACATCTGTAGAAGAGGAAGATACTTGTTTATCTTTCCTAGACATATTGCTTAGTCGATGGCTTGATGGGTCAATAAAAAGATCTATTTATAGAAAACCCACCTGGACAAGACAGTATCTTAATTACCACAGTTTCTGCCCTGTTCGTTAAAAAAGACTCTCAGTACGGTGCCTCTTCAGTAGAATGCAACAAATATGCACTGAAAGCACACTTGATGAAGAAGAAAGAAAGTTGACACAAACTCTGGTTGATAAAAATTATCCAGACTAATTCATCAGGAGATATAAAGTAGTCAGAACACTAAGACCAACTCTACAACTTGCCCCTAAGAAAGACGTGTACATCAAGCTACCCTATATGAGGCATCATAGCAGCTCGATAACTAGACAAAGATAGAATCCTGATGTTAAAAAAGACTTTGTATGCAGCTAATAGCATAATGATTGAGAATCCATCCATCTAAGCCTTTTAAACACGCAAAAAATGATGTTGCATCCCACTGTATTCACCAATTTGAATGTACGTGTGGACACACATACATTGGGAGTAATCACCGATCTCTGCAAGTAAGGGCTGGCTTCAGAAGCAAATAGAATCTCTATAACCCATTGATGGTGAGAACAGAAGACCTTACTCCTCTACTGCGAAGCATATCTTGAAGATAGGACATAAAACTGATGTTTCCACACGTCTTTTAAACCTATCTATGAAACTTATTTGGGTAGTATCCTAAAGTGTGTGGAAGCCCTAGCTGACAATTAAAAAGCGTTCAAAGCAACAATTCGTCATTACATTAAACCTTCCTTGGTAAATTTTGTTTTGATACCAGACAGGGTGGATGCACTATTGTCTCTCTTATTTGGTTTAGTGGTCTTCATTGTTATTTTGGCCTTCAATATGTCCTTTAAACTTGACCTAAGTAGTCTATTTTCTCACCTCTTGATTATTTATTAATTTCATACATATTCCTATGACAAGTCCGTGTGTCATGGATCAGATTGTACGAAATGTGTTGCGCAAATGTGTTACACACACGATTCAGACAGGCAAATTGCGTCTTCTTATTGCTTTATCTAAATAAATATACATTTACAAATTCCACTGGTCGTGGAGAAATCCCACCACGATATTCTTCAGAAACCAGTCATGACGTGTATGTGATCTGCTTGGCATTATAATTATATGATACTATACACTACAAATGATCTAAATCAAACCAAGTAAACCCTTGATTAACTCGGTCACAAAAGAGCGAAAGTGCCTTCCACTTGTTTAGATTACTCAAATCTTACTAGTAAGCAAACTCTACGGGGATGATAATTGAACTATTATTGAAACTACACGTTGGGTGACACGTGAAATCGGAAACCACAGGATTTGTCTAAAATATGGTACTATATATATATTGAATATAAAATATGAAAAGTAACACACAGACCTCAATTTGGAGGTGTCTGTGGATAAGTGCCTTCAAAAAAGCACAGACAATACTTTGCATCAATAAGCAAGAGCACCAGAGCTGTGTCAAACAGGGATCCACGTGTTATTCAAACAGCGCGCGAATATCAGACACACAATAAAATGATACGGATAAACAATGTTCAACAGTGAATGGTAAACGAATAAGGCATACACAGCAAATAATGTTCGACTGTGAGAAAATATTTATTATTATACATCTAACAGATTAGTAATACATCGAATGAGTTAAACTTCAGTAGCTAATAAAGGCATGGTTAAGAATTAAGAAATTCTTGAGACTGTGTATCTAGCCAGTCAAGTTTGCCATGAGGCCATCATTCCACTAGGTGGTTCGCCATCACGGTGAACACTGACTTGATGATATCAGATGGTTGGAGACAATCAATAGGCCGGAGGCCTTGGACTTAAGTTTCGTACTTGTTGTTATTCATCATCAGGGCGTATAGAGAATTTCGAAGGAACTCATGTCCCTTCTTAGATTCGAACCTGTATTCGCTTATATCAATTCAATTTTGGGGATCAGTTCAACTGGGATCGTGCAACAAACTTAGATAGGAATCATAAAGAACACTACAGGATTCCTGGAAGCTTGCTGGTGAAGTCAACTTGCACTGAATAAACATATTAACATGAGTCAAATTTATCATTCATTAAAGTACAAATCACCTAACCAAAAGGTCAAATATCATGTCAATGAGACAGATGGTAACAATGGATATCTCCGACGGGGTGCAGCAGAGGCAGTTGCACTCATGGCCATCAATAAAGACTGGTATTTTAACCCTAGAGAATTCCTAAAGGTCATCTCACAGTTCAGTCAGAAGTGAACACATTGCCGAGATGGAGAGCTTCGCAATTAAATCAGCCAACATTAACTTAGAGTATACACTTGAAGTTCTAGTGGGAAGTCGTGACCATTAGGGCACACAAAGGCGGGTGTGAGGAGAAATACTCACCAGCAACGACATTCGTTACTGGTCGGGCCATATCGTGAATTGTTGGAAGTTGGAATTCATGAGCTGGCCAGTGGATTGGGTCCCAGTGGCTTAATGGTCTACGAAATCGAACCCCGTGGGTGCGTACTGCTGAAGAGTCCTAAACTAGGTCGACGGGGAGTCTTTCCAGTACTCCCTGTGGTAGTTTTCAGTTTACTTATGTCAGCTCATGATGAAATCCTGTAACACGGAAATCTGTTGAACAACCCGAAAAGTTGTTCTCTGCTGCTTAATAAATGTCCCTTCAATTAACGAAAATAGATCTAGGCAGATTTTGATTGGCTGTTGGTTAGCCGGCTTCCTATTGGTCTAAAATATAAGTTAAAGCGGTAATCTTTTTATTTTGACACGGAAATTTACAGTCAGTATGATTTAGGGCTTACCTTACTACAATATATAATGGCGTGTTAATTTTTTCGGTATGAGTTTGGTGTGATAGTCACAGGTTATTTGGATGCATTGGTGGTGTTTAAAGTACATTAAGATGTATGAGAATGTCTGGTAACTGAATATAAATCAACAATAATTTCGATGCATTTATTTTAAGTCCAAAATAGGATGTATGCATTTTTGATTACTAGGCGAATAAAATTTAACTACAATTTCTAAAAATTTAATGTATCCTTAATTAGTACATATAGATAAATGTATGTATTAACTAATCTACTTTTTTAAGTTGTCAATTCAATGACCTTTGGGATTTGTGCATACTAGGTCAGCATAAATCAAGTAAATTTCCCTTCAAACGGCTGAGAGCGACAGTTTAAAGCATACTTTGGTTGATTATTTCGTGATGAAAGCAATTTGGAGTCAGTTATAAATTACACCGATCTGTGTCTTATTCATACGTTTTTCAGCTGAGGATTTCCGGTTCATAGCATATCCTGAATAACGGTGATTAATACGATTTATCACTTAGACCGCAGCACCACCAAGCTTAAAACAATTCTAAATTTATTCTAACCTATTCCTCGATAATGCCTTTTTACGGTAACTGAAGATCATATTTACCCACTATGTTCTGAAATGACACAGGTCGTGCTTAAAAAGACAGCTGCGTGCTGAATCAAAACTTTCCGCTCTGGAGTAACGCTAGTCCATGCTTAATATGTCCTGTGAGGGCTGGAACAACGTTGATAAGCAAACCCAGTAGGTTCGATTTAGTGCCACTCATGCTGAAAAATCAGCGCACACTTTCACTGTCGAACAATGGCAAAACAGTAAGGGAGTTTAATGTTACTATTATTAGCATAGTCTATGTTACTATATTAGCATAGTATACGTTAATTAGCTCAATGATTGCAGGTTTACAATAATCTTTGACTACCAACATAATAACTGTGAACTTCAGGCTAAAAATAAGCTAAATAGTAGCACCCAGTGACAAAAACTGACCTACACACTGCAAAATGAGCAAAACATCCAGAAAAACCTTTAAAATTCAATGGAAAACGAATTCACGAAAACATATAACTAGCCGACGCAGGAACTCATCATGACCTAGAAACTGACTGTAATCTCTTTCGTCTAGATGTGCAACAAAATTTCTCCTGATTGTCTACGAAACATCGATGTCGGCATTCTTATATCTTTTATAAAACAGCTACTCTTGAAATACACAATGAATGTCCACTTTTCATTTAAACAAGGAACTATGCAGACAAGTTGATGGTGTGGCGCTGGGGCCATCACTAGGACCCTTGCGAACCTAGAGAATAGGCCTTTGAAAGATGTAAGTGATGAGTTTAAGTTCTACTGTCAGTACATGGATGATACATTTTTGATTATGAAAAATGATTGAGAATGAAGCAAAGCACATTCTGGACAAATCTAACGCCGTTCATGCTGGAATAAATTTTACCACCGAGAAAGAAAGACACTCTGGTATTTTATTTTAAGACATCCTTATTACTAGAAAAGAGGATGGCATAATAATAAGAGGAAGTGTATATTGAAAACCAACATCAACTGACTCATCTATCCAGCTTCGTGCGTTTGAAATACAAACGCAATCTAATAAAGTGCTTGGTCCATAGAGCAAGAACAATCTGCTCTGATGAATGTCTTAATGAGTGAGGATGGCAGTTACCCAAAGAAATTCATCGATAATAATATGAATCAAAAGTGAAGGCAGTCCAAAATGCCAAAAGTTTCGAAAAAGGCCTTGTTCTTGCAACTTTAGTTCATCGGTGATGATAACATCAGTGAGATATTAACACAGTGCCTTAGGAATGCGGTAGAAAGTGCATTCAGTCCTGCTAAATTATGCTGTGTCTTCAAGATCACCCCTATTTTGTGTTCAGGAGTGGAAGATAAACTGCCTAATTTTGCCTCTTCTATGAGTGTGTATCTACCAATTTAATTGCTTCTGTGGAGCCATTTAGCCGCTTAGGTCGTACAATTAGGCGTGTTTATAGTTGGATTTCCGAACGCCATCCTGCCTGGTTGATTAGTAAAGGACAAACAAAATCCAGCAAAGTTCAACAATAGCGTCCCAAGGGATGCGAACGCACAATGACCTTGAGCCGACCAATCAGAAAATAGGAGGATTTTTGCATAAAATTTTACGTCTATTTACACAAAAAAGCATGAAAAAAACATTATACAGGATATTTCTGTCTAATTTGAGATAAAAAGTCTCCCAGTTATATTGAGGAGTATCAGTTTTTAAATTAAACCAATTTCTATACATATATTCGTCCAGATGACTAAAAATGACTTCCTTTTGAAAGCCGTTTATAGCTCTGATTCTATTTTTTAGTCTTCCCCAGAAACCTTCGATTGAATTGGTATGGGTACCGGTTCTAGGCTCCACAAAGTCATCTGAATGGTTTACTCGATGGTGTATATATCCCAAAGTAGATAGACGATTATATCCTGCCCATTCATCCGTATGAATGGTTGTGCCTGGCAACACCAGTCTTTGAATAATAGGTAGTAGTGTATCCGCACTCCTATCCGGAATGATTTCGATGAAACCTTTGCGAATCTGCCTGTCGTAAATACCAAGAACCCAAACGTTATTAGCCCTAGCATGTCCCCGGTTATACTTCTTTTTTATAAGCACAGTTTCATCGATGTGAACAACGACACCCACTCCGCCTAGCACTTGCGTGATGCTATTTATTTTCCACCACGCTAAATCTCTGCAAAACTGGAACCATTGCACAGTAGACGTTAAGGTATTGTCTGTCTGGGCTGCAGTTGATCTCACTCCGGTCTTCAAAATCCAGTAATGACATAGAAACAGGATATTCGTCAACGAAAGCTTCGATTTTTCGAAGAAAATTCCTAAAAGATAATCAACTGAGAGTGTTACTTACCAGTGCGAACACTTGTTCGCTTCCTACACTGTATACATCTAAATGTATATCCATCAATCACCTGGGTATACGGCTGCAGTTTCATAGAAGCACCACAACTGCATATCCGAGTACGTCCTATTAATCCATTGTCTAAGCAGTACTGAAAAACGTGCTCTGGTTGAAATTTGCATCGGAGCAGATGAACAGGCGTCATTTTCGCGCTAGAATAATGAAAAAGGTTCCACAACCAATGGCTAGCATGCGTTCAAGGTCATTGAACGTTGAAGGTTTTGGTACGGTATTCTTAAACTTCGCCAAAAATCCATTCATAGCTCTATTCTATTTCATCTTGTGGATACGGAACACAAGACTGATATCAACGAGGCGGCTTTCAAAGTCATCTACGGGCAGAATAACAAATCTTAACTTTGTCTCACCCAAGAGTTCGTCGTCTACTATATATATTGCTGACGCTATCGGAATTCATACTAAGAAGCCTAATCTATGTATCAAAAAGAAGTTCGCTGGTTGGTTCAGACAGTGTCCTTACCTTGACCGCCAATCAAGGTTCTCATGATCGTAAGTTTGTTGTGGAAATTTCCTCAATTTTATTTGATATTCTATTTACTATTACACTTTTATGCTTATTATTACTATCGCTTGATAGCGTTATTAGAAGACGGAGATTATCTGAAAAATATGATGTATTGGCGCTATACATTTCGAACAATCTGATCCCTAACACATTTACTCGTCAAGTCAATCAATATGTGTATATAGTGATAACAAACTGTTTTTGAATGCTGAATGCAGGAATAATCGCGCTTTGCATATGAGGGTGGGAGAGCATATCCTCAAATGGTTACAAGAACAAATAAATTGTGAAAGCCAATAAATACAGGTGTCAGTCAGACTACCAACTTCGTCTATAGCTAAACATCTAATCGAGATGAACCATAAGATTGGTGTTAACTCAGTCTTTATAAGGTCATCTATAAAAATGGTCAAGGGCGCTTAGTGAAATACGCTGAGGTTATAGCTATTCATAAACTTAAGCCCACCTCCCTGTGCATTCAAAAACAGTTTGTTATCACTCTTAATCTATACTACCTTGGTAATCCTTATTTGATTCGATTACCAAACGTTTGTGTTAATTATTCTTAAAACTGTTTTTTTGGTCATTTTGTTCAATTTAACTTTTCCATATATACACATATTGATTGACTTGACGAGTAAATGTGTTAGGGATCAGATTGTTCGAAATGTATAGCGCCAATACATCCCACATTTTTCAGATAATCTCCGTCTTCTAATAACAACACTATCAAAATTTATAAAAGGGACTATCGCTTGAACTGCAATTTCAGTGATCTTAACAAATTAGCTGTCTACAAGTTTTCAAATGAAGTCCATTGATAAAGTTAGTCCTTCGCAATATTTCCATCATTTTCATCCGTTCGCGTTTCAAACAGAAATTAAGTCTCAGCAGCGTTAATGTTACTATATTTCATGGGGTAGATTTGGTAACCACATAATCAACCGTTCTTCTTTTACCAACTAACTATTGCCAAGTAAACTAGTCGAGGTTTAGCAGTCAGTCGGTCGGCAATCGAATCCGGACCACGTGTATCCTTAGTGAGCATTTTACCCCTCTGAACCATCGACACAGAAAAGGTCTAAATCCTAGAACATTTAATAACACTGACTTATAAACTTACTATTTTGATGAAATGTCTTATCCGTTGAATTCATGCAAACAATTTGATGGCTAGGATGTAGTGTTTGTGAAACATGTTTATATGCTTTCATATCTTCGTAGGGATTCATTCTAGCTGGTGAATTTTGAGCTGTATTACATTGTTTACGGCCAAAATTCCATCTAAACAGGAAAGAGATTAAAGGCAAAATAAATAGTGAACACTGGTCAGAAATAAACTGTTATGCTTCTTTAGAAAAGGTCTAAGTATCCATTGAAATGTATCTATAGGTTTACGTCTCAAGGGAACAAATGCTTTCAGAAGAGCTGCGGAGAGGTAACCCCTTAAGACAGGCCATAGGGTTTCTTAAATTTTGTCGTAGTGACTGCTATCGAACTCATGTTTAGAAAAAAAAAGTCAACGGTCATATTTTTATTATAAGTTATTTAAGCTAATTCCAGCGTGTTAAGAAAATCAAAACAATAACTTTTTTCTGAACGTTTCGCTGTGTAACCCACAGCTTCTTCAGCAGATTTATTCAGATTTTTATTAATCATCAAAATATATAGTCAAACATTTTTACATAAATTAAAGTCAATTTGTTTGAAACGTTCAGAAAAGTCTTGTTTTGATTTTCTTAACACGCTGGGACTAATTTAAATAATTTATAATGATTCAATCTGATTCGGCGCTCAAATTATTCCAGGAAGTTCGTAACACCTACGGTCTGGAGACTTATAGTCATATTTTTATTTTAACCCAAATTTGGCATAACTGTCCGAGGGTGATGATTAGATGACTTTGATCTGACTGGATATCAAGCACTACTGATTGATGTGACTGGTGTTTAACTGCGAATGGCAATCAATCGATAGTTTATAGTATCAAATATCTATTGTCTCTCTATTCTAGACGAAGTCACTAGAAATTTCAGTAATACCACTTCACTACTCGTAAGTAGTATAAAACATTTACATAAAAATCAGCTGACCTTTGTTGATTTGGTTCTGAATATTGGGGTTCATTAGATGTAACTGCTTGAAAATGACCTGCTGTTGGCACTGCCGCTGATGATGTTGGCTCAATAGGATGCTTGAAAACTCCCATAGTTTGAGGTTTGTAGGATAGATATGAACTACCAATATCTGTTCCACTTGATATACCAGAATCCTGTATATTCTGTGGATCAGATAGATCGGTTGAATTCTTTTCAATTGGTTTATTCAGAGTTTTATGAAATAAAGAAGGATCTAATTTTGTTATTGTTCCAAAATGGTATTAAAAGCAGGAGAGGAGGGTAGAGAAAAAGAAACAAATTAACTTTGGGGACTAAAAATTTTAAGCAAAAAAATATGAACATGGCATAGTGAGTTGGATTCATAAATCCAGGGTATGCCTCGCATTATTGATTGTATCATTCAAAAATGAGAACAAAACACGTAGTTCAACGAGGAGCCCCGTTTTGCGGCGAATTTATTTGCTTAGTTGACAACACTGGTGGCCCTAATCTATTTCTGCAGACATTTAACTGTTGCCATCCAGCAATAAAATTCAATCTTGAAATGGAAGACGAATTAAAAACTGCCTTCCTTGATGTGGAACTGACAAGAAAAACTGATGGGACCTTAAGAAGATCAATCTATAGGAAAGCTACTTGGAATGGCCAACTTACGAGTTTCTATAGCTGGGTACGCCATTCAACAAAAGTGGGGTTTAATTAAGTCCCTTACCGCTGGCGTCCGACGCATCTTTAGTCCCTATGTTCTAGAAACAGAATTAGATCTTTTGAGAGAAATCTTCATCCAAAATGGATACTCACCAAGATTCATTAATAAAAATATCAAACCAAGGATTCGGAGGAATGAAAAGCAAGTCTACATGAACTTGGATTTCAAAGGAGATTTAACAAGCGACATTCTCAAGAGAAAAATCAAATCATCTCTGAGAAGAACATTCTTTGCGGAAACGCTAAGTATAGTGTTCTCCAGTCGCCCACTGATCTGCAGAAGCCTTAAGGACTAAAATTTCGCATCTGACCACTTATATGTGCATATATCAGTTCACCTGCTGCTGTGGAACCACATTCAACGGCTGTTCGATGCGCATCCTGTTCAAGAGGATTCAAGAACACTAACCAGCATGGTTACGAAAAGGCAATAGTAGTGTTATAAGGGGTGCGATAATTGAACACATGGTTAACATTGATCGTTCCATCTCAGCAAACGCCTCCTTCAGATTAATCTACAGAGTCAAGAATAACCTTCCAAAGGCAATACAGTTTCGTCTTCTTTATATTGCTGAAGCTGTGGCAATTCATATAGAAAAAGCGTAGCTATGTATAGAAAATAGAATTAATCAACAACTTCGTTAATTTTCGATAACTTTAACTGCTTATAATTTTTGTATTTAATTAGACCTCTAACGCAATTTCGTATTCTACACTTTGCGTGTATGAGCACCTTGTGTGCAACGCAGTCATCAAACTATTCATATTATTACATAACAGTTGATTGTGATAACTCATCACCTTTGTTACTACACCAGTTTTTAATTAACACTCAGTTTTATTGACTGTTTTTGTATTACTTACTTACTTACTAATTCTCACCTGTTTAGTTAAAATAACCATAATAAATTATATTTTGTTTGACAAACTTAATGTACACAGGCATACATTATTATGATTGTTTCCTTTAATTCCTAGAGGAACATAGGGCTTCAGTCACACGTCTCCTTTGCGTTCGGTTCTCCACCAACGTTTTCGCCTGACTCCACGTCTACTCATATGCTTTCACCTCCTCTGTATATCACCTCCTCCATGTCACCCTCGTAATGACGACCAACTCGCCACTTCGCATTCGGGTTCCACTCGAGCAATGGCCTGGCGTGTGATGTCACTCACTTGATGGTTTGTTTTCTTAGAGTATGGCAAAGTGAACCGCCTAGATTCTACTACTAGCCCTTCACGTACTATCATGTTAGTTCTAAAACATCGTCAAAACATCTGAAATACTAGGCGCGGATATATCAATAGTTTCCAACACTTCATTCAAATGTAATAAATCAATTAACGGGAGGTCTAAAGCTCACTTGGGAGCAAAATTCCATTCTGTAGCTTTTTAGTGCTGGTGTTTTGGGGTAATATTTGCAAAAGAAGAAATAAAAAGGCGACTCTATTTGAATACAAAAACAGATTCAGCTTCATAAACTTACTTAACCATGAATCAGTTAATAATTGAGCCGCAGTCATCAGTGTTGCTCTAGTCTCAGCATCTGTTACACCCATTTCAATTAGTTCATTTCTAGTCAGCCGACTTAATCGTTTTACATCTGCAACACCATGTTCTAATAAACACGGCCAAACGGACTGAAAAATAAGTGATAAAAAGATAACAAAGTTAGGAAAAACAATATTCAGGGATTGGTTTATTTTACTGATTTCATGATGAGCTGATCTCATTTAGGGAACCATTAGAAAACTACCAAGGAGTACCAGAGAGCCAGCTGTTTCATCAGCCTAGTTTGGGACTCTTCAGTAGTACGCACCCTATTCAGGCAGTTAACCTGAGGTTCTAGTTGGAAGCTGTGACTAGTAAGGTACACCAGGTTGAAGCTAAATCAGTAACTCACTGAAGAAGACATTGTGAAGTGGTTGCGCTTTGTTATGAATTGGCAGAAGTTGGAGTTCATGGGTCGACCATCAGATGGTGTCCCAGTGGCTTAATGGTCTATGAGTTCACTAGCCTTGATGCCAGAAGGTCTTTGGTTCATACCCTGGTGGTGTGGGTGCGTATTGATGAAGAGTCCAAAACTAGGCTGTCCACTACCCCCTGCAGGTTTTCCAATGTTTCTCCAGCTGATGTCAGATCATGATGAAATCCTCCAACCAGAAAACAATATTGTTATATGAGGAAGCACAATGTGGGTAATAGAGGTGTGAAATATGTTACTGGTAAGAATTCGTATCAATCATCATCAAGGGTAAATGAAGGAACTTCTTTTATTCACTTAAGCAGCATCGTTTCAGTTACAAGTGGGGCGAAGTTAAACTTTCGACACCACTCTAACTACCAATCAGCGAATTATCCAATAAGATTCACGAACGATGTCGAATCATCCAATGAGGTTCACGAACGCAGTTCAATGTTGTATAGCGCTTGATTCATTTCTAATGCATGACCTTACAAGGCTATTGTTGCAATTCGTTGAGGTTAGTGTTTCCCAGTATTTCCTAGATTTGAGTTGCTCCGGAAAGAACGAATTTGATTGTGTGGTGGTATCATGACTTTAAAAAGCTATACTAAATCAACTGATGGGTTTGTTCATCGTTGTGCTATGTGTTTGAAGCATGCTAATATTAGAGAGGGTAAGCTGATAATTTTAATATTTCGTGAGAAATTTTTCCGCTAGGTCACATCTCTCCCTAACCCAGATTTTGTGTATCTGCAATTACTGGGTGTTGAAACAGCCGGTGAGAGCAGCAGCTACCGAGACTGAGAATAGTCTTGTCTCAACAGTTAAGTGGTACCAGCATTGCAGAGATATTGCTTCGTGTAAAATAGAGACAATCACTTGTTTGCTGTGTGTAACCCGTTACGAGGACTCATACGAATTCCACTGAAGGTTTTTGGGGCCGCTTGAAAAACAAGATAAGGGCTATAAATGGATCTGAAAAGGATCTCATTTACAGCCGTTCAGATGAATATAAGTACAGGATGTGCTGTGACTTCGCCATTGACAGTCACATGCTAAACTGGGGGATGTTTCTTTCATATATTCGAGAAAGATAACTCCTTGTAACCGTTTTATCCTTCTTTATGCTTTTTTCTATAAATATGCGTTTCCATTCATCATATATGCCTATTTAATGTGATTGGTCCGTTCAAGGTCGTTTGCTGATTGGTTGCTAGGGTTGTCGAAAGTTTAACTTTGCCACAAGTGGTACATATCAGAATGTCACAGCCAATCGGAATCGAAAAGACAAGATAGACAGGCATTTTATTGCAATTATTTGTTTTCTTTGAGCTGGTTGGTTTAATTCCGCGGCTTTCATCCGCCTTCTGGACAACATCTTCAGTTTGGCGCAAGTTTTAGCATATAACGAACTGATTTAAATTCTCTATGAATGATAGATTTGCGTCTCCTCGTAACTATCTTCGTGACTGGTTGCCGATTTACACCTGTATCGACCATTTTTATTGACTAGGAATTTGGACTCTCTCGTCACATAATTTAATTTTTAATGGTTGGTATATTTGGTGTATATTAACATGTCTGTTAGTCGCCTATTCGCTTGAGTACCACGCTTCTAGAAACTCTCTGGCACTTTTGGTGTTTCCTCTGTTTAAAATTTCGACACTATCCCAGTCAAATTGATGTCCATAATTATCTATATGCATTGATATGAAAGAATATATACTGTAACGACAGAAGACAAGGGCCAGGCAACAGATCGTCTATTGAGAAAATCAAAATATATTTATGGATTTTTATGTACATTATTGTCAGCAGAGAAGCAACGTCTCCTGATTGGTTGTTTTCTTGTTGAAGGTTATTCTGTACTGCTTGTGACTGTTTCTCAGAAAGTTAAGCCATATATCTGCGAATCATATTTACACACATTAAGTCTACTGTGATTGGTTGGTGAGTTCCTCAAGGTTAAGCTTAGGTACTGTTTTTTTTTATCATGACCCTGATTGCTGTCTGCAATTTTGGCTTGGAGACAGCTCTCACCACAATATCATCTTATTTTACAGCTAATTTGTGCTCCTGGATTACGATTCGAAGGGGACGCCCACTTTGTTGACCGATATAATGTCTGTTACAGTTCATATAAATTATTTTGTAAATGGCATTATTTTATTATCTTTTTCTGTTATATGATCTTTTGGTTTGCACAATATCGAATGAAGGCTTTTATCACTTTGAAACCAGTGTGAGAGTCTACTCCACTCAGCGGAAGGAATCAGATCCGGATCTTCAATAGCACTATTAAGTCGATATAAGTATCCATAACTATAAGGTTCATAGTCATGACAAATATTTCGAACAGACTGAAGACTTTTATTGGCGATTAAGTTACCTTGGAAGAAAAGATACTTGTCCAAACTGCCGAAGAAAGGAGACTTAAGTTAATGCGAGAACTGCCGCAGTATTATGCTTCAGTTCATCCCAAGCAAAATACTAAGCCGAATCATCCTGGAGAGAATCAAACACGCCAATCTGGATGAAAAACTTCGACGGGAACAGGCTGGATTCAGGAGAAACAAGTCATGTATTGATCAAATCGCCACACTACGTATCAGCACTGAACAGAGCTTGGAATGGCAGTCACCTACCTATTTCGACCTAGTCGACTTTGAAAATGCCTTCGATAGCACAGCAGCAATCGAAAGGTGATTCGGCAACTACTTCGCTACTACGGGGTACCATCGACAATTATACACCTCATCCAACAGTTGTGCGGTACTTCTGCATGCCAAAGCAGTCCACCACGGGAAACTTACGGAATCCGTCAAAGTAAAGACGGGAGTAAGACAACCTTGTTGCCAACTATCACCAATGATTTTTCTGATTACGGGCGGTAGATTGAATAATGTAACAGACAGAGGGCAACGAGGAAACAGGCCTAAAATTGACCTCCACGAAAAATTTAGAGGATCTGGATTTTGCCGATGATATGTGTCTGATTTCCCACAAACTGGAAGATATGCAAGTGAAAAGCAACAAGTTGGCAGAATAAGCATCAAATATAGGACTCCAGGTAAACATAGAGAAAACAGAGGTGATGAAGATTCCTGGCCAACAGCAACAACAACAGACAACAGTCAGCATAAATGGGGGAAATCTGAAAGAAACAACCTCCTTTACCTACCTACCTGGGAGGCATCGTTTCAACTACAGGCGGAACTGACGAGGATATCAAAGCAAGGATCGAGAAAGCAAGACAAACTTTCATTACTCTCAAGTCTGTGTGGAGGTCAGCACTCAGCACTCAATAAGAAAAATAAGATCCAGATTTTCAACTCCATTGTGAAGTCAATGCTACTATAAGGATCAGAGACTTGGCGTTGCGTCATGAAGAGCACCTCAAACAAACTACAGACCTTCATCAACAACTAGCTATCTTTACTCAATACTTAAAATCAGATGGTCGACCAGAAAAGATCAGTAATAGTGGGGGATCTCTGGTAATGAGAGAACCAACCCAGCAGGAACCAACTGTGCAACAAATAAGCAGGAAGAAATTTAGTTCGACTGGCCATACTCTGGGGAAACCATCAAGTAACATCAATAGAAAAGCCCTCTCGTGGAACCCGAAAGGGAAGCGGCGAGTTGGTCGTCCAAGGGTGACTGGGAGGTGGTCATTTGAAGAGGAGATGAAAGCATGTGAGCAGACCTGGAGCCAGGCTAAAACTTTAGCAGAAAACCGAACGCAATGGGGACGCGCAGCTGAAGCCCTATGTTCCTCTAGGATTTAAAGGAAATAATAGGTTACCTTTGCCCTACACTGAAGATCAGATTACCAAAGATGATTAGCAGCAGGGAACTCTGGTAAAGAACCACACATAATACGCTGCAGACAGTCCCTCGAATGAATGGCCTCAAATGGGAAACGACAAATTCAGCATCACTTTGAATGAGATACCGAGATAGTCAAGTGAGGAGGACAAGAAAGCTTATGGCCGCCAGTTGAGGAGCCAAATAAAGAGGACTTCAAAGGACACAGTGAAATAGTAACGTACTGCTAGCGGCCTATTTTTCCACTCGGAACCAGAGTTTTAAACTGAGTTCATGGTGCCCATATCAAAAATTAATCGAAAGGTGTATAACTTTTATGGTATTCACAAAGTTGTCAAGAAGCTGAAGAAAGAATTTTTTTTCAAATTCATCTTAGTCCTACATGGATTGTGAGTATATGCGTTGCTAGACGGTGATAACTGTAATGCTGTGACAGCCGCCCACTTCTGGTACAATGAAAGTTAAACAATCGACGAGCTCGCCTCGTAACCTGAAATCCCTGAGGTCGGTCCCCAGTAGCATCTTGAGTGCGTACTTCTGAAAAGTTCCGAACTAGGACGCGGCGGCTTTCCGGTACTTCCTCATTTTCAGTGGTTCTGTATTTTCATGCATCATGTTGTCTTGATTTCCCAGGTCAATATTCTTGATATCAGTTATTCCTTGAGTTCTCGATCAAATATAGGGCTTCATGGGCATATTTCACTTCCCCTCTGTTCACTGATTAGCTGGCCCTACGACTATCTCCCCCTGCTCCTGACACGATCCCCCACGTCACTCTCAGACGGTCAACTTGTCGCTTACCACTTCGGTTCCACTAGATGACGTGGAATTTGGTGTCAATTAAAAGTCTCCTTAACGTACATCCTAATCATCTCTACATCTTTCGGCATATTTTTTTGGTTTTACGTGATGGTTCACAGCCTGCCAGAGTTACTTGTAGCTTATCCTTGCCGTGACGTTCCATCAAATCTTCACTATTGAGCAGCAAGACATCTGCTGACGAAATTCTCCAGCAGGTCGTTGCCATCGCTAAATTTTGTAAGCATAGAAAACTACTGACTTGACAACAGTTCTGAGAAATCTCATCTCTTTCCGTGCTAATGGGTCTCCATGCAGATCCCAAAGTAATGAAAGCCTTTCATGCTTCATAAATCCCGATTGCCTGCTTCGATATATTCATCCGTGTTGACTTCTTGCAATTGAAACAGTTCTACTTAGGGCTTATCATTGCTAACAGATAACAAATTTGATATGGTTGTGCTCTCTGAGCTGGTTAGTTAATTTGTGAAGCTTTCATCGCCCTACTAGGTGACGTCTTCAGCGCATACTTCAATTTGAATTGAAGTGAGCTTTTTTGATTTCTCCACGAGTTCACCAATAGTCATCTTTCCTGGTGACCTTGAATGTGATTGGTTGTTTCTGTGTGTGTGTTTCACACCTTTTAGGTTTCTTTCTAATTTGTGTTATCATTATTAGTTTCAACATTATTTTATTTTGCTTTTGACCTTGTTTTTGATATTCCTAATGAATTTTAAAGGGTAGTTATTTAACAACAGCGCCCCTTCTATCTGTTTTAGTTCATCATTTAGCTTTGTTGGTGTTCTACTTAGTGCTATTGCTCGGTTTGTTAAACACTTAACTAAGCCTGCCTTTAAGGATAACGAATGAGATGAATTAAAGTCTAAATATCTATGAACAGAATGCGCTGGCTTTTATAAACGCTGGAGTGCAGTCTACTTTCTTCTATTCGTTTTATTTTACAATCTAATATCATAGCTGGCTAATTCTCCTTGTTTATTTTCCGATTCAAATGTGAAATTTATTCCCTCTAACAGTGAGTTTATGTGTGTGTGTGTGTCAGGAAGCTAGAAGAAGTTGTATGAGTACCTTGATATGATTATCAGCAGTGATTTGTGCTTAAAACGTCATCAGCTAATACTTCTGTCTTATGTAGATGAATGGAGGAAATCAGGGATCACTGGAATCGGTCTTGAGGTGCTCATCCTACTCAAATAACGAAATATAATTCTTTTACATATATATTACTGAAAAACGCAGAAAGTTAGAAAACTACACTAACTTGTACTCCAAGACGTTGCATTAAACACAGTAGCATTGTCTCCGATTGTCTGTCTGAATCACCTGAGTTGAGAACTGTACCAGGGATGATTTGTTCACATGGATTATGTGCATAATTCTTGTGAAAGGAACTATTATACGTTGTTGTTGTTGTTGCTGCTGCTGTTGCCATGGTATTCATCTGATTCGCATCAGTTGAATGCAAGTTGACGGGAACTCGGGCAATCGATGCCGCATTTGGAACCAGTGGTAATGTTTCATATGTATCGATTGTTGGACTACTTGGAGCTGATTGGCTAACATCTGATTGGTAGGGTGAATTCAGTAGACCATTATGTGTACGACTAAAGAATGGACCACAGCGTAATGTCATGCCACGACGTTTACGCCAGTTGGTTTGTGAAGGAATTTTCGTGAGACATTTTCTTGAATCTTTTGTATAACGAAACTTGACTGTATTCATTGGTCCGGGGGTTTCATCTTCACTGCTGTTCGGTGATGTCGGCGCTGAAGAGAGCACCTCTTTTCTCGCTATATAATAATAAAATGCATTAAAAGACATTAATTCACTCAAATAAGTGTTTAACAGTAAAAGACTTCATCACGGTGGCTGAATGGTTAACAGGCTTTCCATGTAACCTGACGGATATGGATTCGATTCCGGCTGGAGTCATGGGTGAGTACTGCTGAAGAGCACAAAAGTAATCGGGAAGAGCTGTTCAGTTTTTCTGTACGTTTCAATGATCCAAATATCATTTTAAAGGCGAACAAAAGGTGACAATCATACCTCAACTTGATATGGATTACGAGAGGCGTTCAAACAAAACTTATGCAGGATAGAACGAATTACAGGTGTGAACAATATGAGCATGGAAACAAATTGAAATAATAATAATCATTTTCAACTTGAATGGTAAGTTAGGAGGTGTGAATATAGATTACAAGAGGTTTAGAAACCAAAAATCACACAGGATTAGAATATAACGTGTTAGAGAACATCATCATTCAGCATGGCTGCAACTGGGAGGCACTGATTCAATCATAACCGCCATAACTAAACACCTCTTCAATACCTGTCAAAGCATCTCAACTGACTCATCGTTCAGAGTCATTTACAAAGTAAACAAAATTTTATCAAAAGCGCTGTTTTCCGACTTCTTTGTACTGCAGAAGCTCACGCCACATGCATCGAAAAGCCTGAGCTGAGTATTCAAAAGAAACTAGAGCAGCCTTTACAACTACCATGAACCTAGTTCGGTTTGTTACCTTAGCCATCGGTTTTTTTTTGGTATGTTCGCTTTGTGTGTATCTTTCTCTCTTTGTCTTCATTCAATTCATCTCATTTTTTTAGTTATAAAATCAGTTGTTTTAAGTTTATTTCCATGCTCCCCTGATCACAGTTGTAATTCGTTCTAACCCTGTGTAATTTCTTGTTTCTTTGCCTCGAATAATCTGTATTCACATCTCCTAACTTACATTTCAAGTTTAAAATTGTTATCATTTCAATTTGTCCCCAGCTGACAGCTCAAAGGTTTCGGTCAACCAATCAAACGCACATCCTACGCCACATCTCTTTTTCTCACATGCCGAACATTTTCAGTCCCTGTACCTACATGATTAAAGGACGAAATTCTGTGGACTCTACTCCAAACTGTGTCTACAAGTTCACCTGCAGCTGCGGGGACACCTGTATAGGTAGAACTAATAGAATGTTCCAATGTTGTCGAAAAGAACATTTTCCAAAATGGTTACTAAAACACATAAAAAATCCCAATCCGATTAATCGGAATAGAGATCCGGCATCATCATCCATTGCAAAACACTGATTAATGTCAGGTCACAAAGTCAGTATTAATGACTGTTTCACAATTATTTCACATTTCAAGGTTATTGAAGGTGATGGAAGCACTTCGGGGGATTAATCACATACAGCCTAAACTGTGTGTACAAAAATCAATAGACTTCAATCTTCACCTACCATGGACTACATGACCTATCTAAATATGATTGGTCATTAGTATGTACTTTTGTTTTTATTTAACTGAGTAATTGTCATGAGCTTTATTTTATTCTTGTTAACCATGTTAGTTGTAAAAAAGCGGTTGTAAAGAAACTGCAAAATGATGATATCGTCTCGCGAAATTTATCTTCTAAATGCCTTATTCAAATTAATCAAAGGTTATTAATTGTTTTCATTTGTTTCCATGCTCATTTTGTTCACACCTGTATTTCGTCCTATCCCTGTATAACTTTTGTTTCTAAGCCTATTGTTATTCATATCAAGTTGCAAAATATCACTTTCCAAACAAATTCATGATACTCAGTTTATGATATGAGAAGCAATTTGTTTGCTCATTCGATGAATAAGTGTGATAAAGGTGAGGACAGAACAGAACTGACACCTGACACCTTTTATAACCTTGAAATGACTTGTCATTTTTTTTCCTATTCTACATTCTACGAATCTACTATAATTAATCGCCACCACTGTCCCTTATTTCATAATACTTTGTAATCGATTTCAGCCCAGAGAACGTTTGTCTCACGCAAAATTAGCATTTATTTTGACACCCCATAAATAGTCTGTTATATAATAGTGTGAAATATTCCCCGATCCAATGAATTAAATGTTAATCAGAATGATGAATTTTCTTTTCAATAATCTCTCCACTTCAAGTTATCACACAATTATAAAATATAACATTTGTTGGCATTACAATAATGATAGCCAGTTAATTATGCGGTGGATACATTTTTTTCAACGTAGAATAACAGATTAGTTGTTATGAAGTGTCAAAATAAATAGTCGTATTTGAGTGTGTGACAAATGTGCTTTGGACTGAAATCGATTACAAAATATTATGAAATAGGAGACAGTGGTGGTGATTAGTCATTACAACTGTTCCTGTGGTTCAGGTTATGTAGGGCACTCGATTAGGCAGGTTTGTCTACGGATTCGAGAACATTTACCAGCTTGGTACAGCAGGTCGAGTGGGGAATCAAGTGCAAAAAAAGCTCGGTCCTGTCACATTTAGTCGATACTGGACATTGCATCGAGGTCAGCACAGCCTTCAGGTCTGGTTATATACCAAATTAAGAAGTCGTTATCACGTACAGTTCGCTTACGTCTCCTACACATACCTGAAGCTGATGCAGTAAGATCAACTAAACCAGAACCTTGTATCCGAAAAGAACACGTCAAGACGCTGTCCCTACCTTCGCCAGACTTGGATTAATGATTCTTCTTCCCCTTAACCCTCTTGATTTTTTTCTTGTTTTGCTTATTATTACAATTATTTTATTATTCGTCATAATTTATACCCTTCATACAAACACTCCCTCAATACTATCCGGACTTATTATTAGTGATGCTATCGCTTTTCTCAATTTATGCCTCCATATGTGTCATTTCACATATTCGTTATTTCATGATGAACCTCTCATTGTAGTCTTAGTATCTCCTACTCTTTAATACATACCACTCACATGACACCTTTTATGACCATGAACTGACTTGTCAATTTTTCCTACCCGGCACTCTAAAAAATCTATTATGACTAATCACCACCACTGTCTCCTATTTCACAATATTTTGTAATCGATTTCAGTCCAAAGCACATTTGTCACACACTCAAATACGACTATTTATTTTGACACTCCATAACAACTAATCTGTTATTCTACGTTGAAAAAATGTATCCACCGCATAATTAACTGGCTATCATTATTGTAATGCCAACAAATGTTATATTTTATAATTGTGTGATAACTTGAAGTGGAGAGATTATTGAAAAGAAAATTCTTCATTCAGACTGGCTTTTAGAACAGAACTGACCAGAACAATGTACATACAGAACACTTAAAGCCACACTGAAGAAATCTACCCCTCACAAAGAATTCACTGGTGCCTTCACTATACTTGTGTTGAAATCTGACACCTCTTGTTGTTGTATGGATAGCCTGGTGCTCGAAGGACAGACCATTCGTGTATTCATATTCACGTAGCTAGATGGTCCACCTGAAAAGCTTCCATTGTCTGTCTAGACAACATCGTCAATGCCCGACATTCAGTATAAAATAGGCTTTTATAATTCCCCATGAATGTATTAACCATCTTGCTTGATAACCTTCGATAAACTTCTGCTCTAAAGCACTTCACTGTGTATGTCTACAAACTCATTTGCTCCTGTGAAGCTGACTGTACTGATGGCATTTTACGCGACGGCCATCGACAGGAAAATGTTAGCCGATCACTAGAGCAATTCTCAAGTATCTGTTAAGTTCAGACCATATCATTCCACCGGAATACACATTTTAAAGTTGTCTACAAAGCAAGGCCGGACAGTACGAGGGCTATTGATTTCAAATTATTGTGTAGGGTAAATGCAATTATCTCCGAATTCTGTATGCAGGGAAAGATTATTTATTATCTGACTGATGGATGATCTTAAACCCTTTTCTACTTGTTCGACTCTACTTATTATATTTTTTTATATTTTTGATTACAGCTTGACTCCACACCGTATTTTTGGTACAAGTATGGAATTTTCAGCGTGGATATCGGTAGCCCAAATTTTGCAGGCCGACCATAGATATCAGGTGTGCGTTGGTGCGGGCTCGAACCCCGGACCATGTGCATGGTCGGCGAGAGTACTAACCACTGTACCACCGACGCACAGTGGCACTTTAATATGTCCCTTTTATACATTTTGCTAGTTAGTTCATTACTGCTCCCACCTTCTTCAAACATGTCAGACAGACATAGAACTTCTAATACTTCATGATTTTACAGCGACCACCACCCATTATCATAGGCAGGATATCCATCTTCAATCCCTACTAGATGGGGATCTCAATGGTCACGACTTCTTACTAGAAAGAACTCCAGAAAACTCTAATACTCGCTGGTTTTCAATAGTTATCTAACTGATATTAATCCATGGGCAGATTCGAACAAATAAATCTAACCCTTAAAAAACCAACTGCTGAAGGCATAGAACTGTAGAAATATTCAAAACTAAGGAATGCTGAACAACGGACTATCTCATAGTGTTCAGGACTGCATTCACAGTTCACAGGTACAATGTCACATGACACGAAACTTGTTACCCTCAGGATTTACACCTAATACTATGTGGAAAAATTGATACGACTGATGACCTGCATCAATCATTTGTGAGAAATTTAAAAAAACATTAACTCATCCCAGAAAATTGAATTTCCGGATAACTCAGGAAGAGGAAACATTTGAAAATAAAAAAGGATCCATAACACAGTCGACACCATCAACATTACCAGGGATCAAAATCACAAAATAAGACTAAGATCAAACAATTTGTGTGGATTAACTTCTCTCGTTTCTCAAAATTAACTGTTGCGTACTGATGAAGAGTCCCAAACTAGGCTGACGAAACAGCTGTCCAGTACTCCCAGGTATTCCGGTGGTTCTCTAAATGATATCAGCTGCTCATGATGAAATCCTCCAATCAATCAAACTAAATCCCTACAAAAATCAATACTTGAAAATCAAT